TAAAAAATATTAAGAAATAAGCCTGTGGCGGTTAATTTTCCAAAGCGCCCAAAGAAAAAGTTGTTTTGCGGTGAACATCATAGGGCGTTAACGGATCATCTTAAAAATAAAATGTGATATGCGTTGTAAAGATAATGAATTTCCCGAGGTAATCAGGAAGAGTTTTTTTTAAATTTATTTTTTGTCTATTTTTGGGAGCACTTGAAAGTGAAAAGTGCGATTTTCGCTTAAAAAATCGCTGTTAATTTATTTTTTAAAAATAGAAAAAAATTAAAAATTAAAAAAAACTCTTCCTGATTACCTGCGTATTTATATTGAGAATTTGTGTTAAAAATTTGAAAAGGATCGGTTCAGTAGATTTTGAGTTCTGATGTTCACCGACTTCCAAAATAACGTCTTCGGCAAAATCGATTCAAAGTATTTTTATACGTGAAAATACGTCCAAATACGGTTGTTTAAAACGCTCTAACTCCGTTAGTTTGACTTTAATTGACTCAAAATTTTTACACAATGTTCTCGACACATTGGTCATTCAGAAAAAAATATAAAAAAAATGTCAAAAAAATTTTTTAAAACCTTACCCCCCCCTTAAGCAAGTTAATTCAATTGAATGTAATTGGTTTATGTGCAGTTTGTTCGACAGTTTGTTGTTAATTAGGTAAGTTGTCTTTTAAATCATAAAGTCATTTTACAGCTAACTAAAAAATTGTAATTAGCTGTAAGGGTTAATGCACTCTTATTGTAAATTATTGTTAAAATAGTGGCAGATTTATTTTCCCTTTCACTTTGTTTTTAGTTCTTAGTTCAGCTTAAGAAAACTAAAACTGCAGAGTAAATTTCCAAAATTAAAGCAACCTTACACAATCAATTTAAGCTGCTAGAGGGCTTGAAAACCCAGCGCACCGTGAGTCCTTTGATGGAATTTCCCACCCACTCGGTTGATAAGCTGGCATACTCCATCGCAGATTAGCCTTCTCCGTTCGTCATTCCCTCATCGCTCAAACATTCTTGAACTAGGAGTATTTAAGTTATCTTTGTGCTGCTGCGAACTGCATTTCTCTTGGCGCAAACAAGCATTCCCAATCAAACTGTTGGCCCCCCCAACTGAGCGATATTTCCCATCTCGACTGGCCAATCGTCCCACCTCCCATGGCACCCCCCTCCCCATGCATCCAGGATAGATCCATCAATGGCTGAGCAAACATTTCATCATCGTCATCGTTATCATCGATTTGTAATGGTCGAGGAGGAGAATCGGGGTATCGGGGTATCTGGGTATCGGGGAATTCCCCATAGCTCTTCTGCTCTCGATGGCGCTGCTTTTGCTAAATCAAATCTTTAAACTTGTGCAGCCATCCGGAGCTTATCGCCGAGTTCTCAGGCAGATATATCCCCCCTCATTCCACCAACTCCCCTTGCAACATTCTGTGCCACTTGTCTGGCAATAGTTTTGCAATAAAGTTTAACGCATTTTTTTAACTCCCATTTCTCGTTCCGCTCTCCGCTTTTTCGCCCTGCTCTTTTTGCTACATCATCGATTTTTATTGAAATTGACACTATCTTTTGGGCGAGAGGGGGAGTGTGAAGGGGTGGGGGTTAAGAGGGGTGTCCCTTAAAGTGGGCTTTCGACATGAATCCTTATAACAATCTCATTGCGAGGGGCACTTTTAATGAGCAGCAGCAATTGGAGCGAATCCATTTTGTTACTCGACTGGGGGAAATGTAAAATGTTCAGGCAAGTGGAAAGTTCTTATAAAGTTGCTAATTGGATTTGATTTCCCGATATGAACGTAAATTTGATTAAAAATCTTCCTGGTTGGGGGAGTGCTTCTTTTCCCATTTGTCTTTGCCCATTTCCGTTTTCTCTCTGGTCGATTTTCATTAAGGTTGCACAGAAATTTCATTAAAAATTTATTACCAACTTTTTTCTCCATCTCCTTCGGTTGCCACGCTCCCTTGGACCTCCTATGCCATCTGTTTGGGAGTGCGGACAAGCTAATAACCAACAAAAGTTCACAGAGACATAAAACAAAGCTGCAGCTAAAGGGGAGCAACAAAAGCGAATGCGAACGAGAAGCAGTTAATAAAAAACAGCAAACGAAAATAAAGAAATGAAACGGACAAACAGTAAAAGTGGCAACAATGAATGGCCAAATGTAGCTGGCCAACACAAGACAATAGAAGACGAGCGTTGAATGAAGAACATCTGCGACTTGCTTATGTGTTTTTGAGTGTCTAGATTGACTGTGAGCCAAAGTGTTTCACTCAAAAGAAAAAACCTAATAATCATTTCCCTGATAAAAAGAATTTTAAACAGCAAAGGAAATTGGTTTTTGGATGACTATTTCTTAAAATTGGTTATTTAATGTTTGTTTAATTGTAATATTTATAAAAATGCATCTTACAAAGACTTCTTAGAAATTTTAGTACCTAAACTAAGATATTTTTCTTAGTGCACAGTGGTTTTGAAATGATGCTAAACTGGTTTCGTGTTGGCCAATAAAAGACAGCAACACGAGTGGTCCAAAGACAAGCGCAACCGTCGAAACGAAAGCAAAAGTAAACGGCGCGAGACAATAGCGTTAAAAAGTGTGGCAACAGACCAGCAACAACAACAACAACAACAACCCTTGTCCAACAACAACAAAAACAAGGAAAGAAATCATAAAATTCACACAAATGTACGGACCCGTGAACACATGTGCAGCATATTCAGAAACGCAAATTGAGTCAGTAAGTCAAATCGAATTGAATGGAAAATGTGGGGAGAGCGGTGCAAAAACGTTCATCGGCAAGTGTGGATTCCTGATATCGATGAAGAAGTGAGCAGTTGGTGAATGGAATATTATGGCAGAGATATATACAGGGGTAAATATCTGATTAAATTACTGTTACAACGGGAAATCGGTGTGGCAAATGCTGACAAGTATTTCCACTTTCCATGGATTTCAGACAGCGGGTGCTTTTCATAAAAGTGAGAATTACATTATGGCAGCTGTCGTCATGGAAAGCTTTAAAAGAAACTCAATAAAAAATGTCCGATTCAGATTAATGGTTTTCAATATTATTGTATCTTGAATGTTAATACTCTGACTCTGTGATACACCTTTCTGTCAAAGTTTATAAAACCCGTCACGAGTTCTGATTACTGCTCTATCCATTCAAATCTGTTTTTGTGGCCTCATTAATGACGGGCTCCGTGGAAAATTTTATGCGGGGCTTTTAAAATTAACTACCTATCTCATGTCTTAGCTGCCCTAAACTCATCTCATCTGAACTCTCATCTCATCTGATCTCATTTACGACTGCTGTTTTAGTACTTTCTATTATGTAAGTCATTAGGTTGGCCTCGTTTTATGACTTTGCCCCGTACCCCTCTCATTCCAGAACTCCACCACTTCGATAATGAGAACGAAGGGAAATTTATGGGACTTTCTAATTCGCTCGTTGGCTGCTTAATGGCTGAATCCCCATTCCCTGGGTTCCTTTGATTGGCCCCCTTGAGAGGCCATTGAAGTGAGCAAAAAGATTTTGCAATGGCTAATTAATAACTCTTTGGGAGATGTGCAATGGTTGAAAGGGGGAACGCTCGACTGTAAAACATAAATTCTTTGCCAAAGAGGCCACTTCAAAAAGAGCAAATTACTCGCATAAAGTTAAAAGAGATAAAGTATGTCAAAGAATGGCTACGTGCCTGTGTGTCGACATCCAAGGAAAATGTTATAAATTGCTCTTTTTTTCTTGGGGAAAATAACCTAGCAGTGTCATAAAACTTCATATAAGATGTTCTTGCTATAAAGGTTTGGTAAATTAGGTTTAAAGAGCGTTTAAAAAGCAACTTTAATGGCTATGAGCCTTATACAAAAATGACCTGAAATTTAAAGCCTTTTGTATCAATTAAAATAGTATTTTCAATGAAAAATTTAACGAGATACTTTTATTTGTATCTTTGAAATGTTTTTAAATGTGGTAGAAAATATTTTATAAATTTATAAAGCTATTAGATTACAATAGTGTCTTTGTAATATATCAAGTTTAAAAAATCCTAGCTGTTTCTGGGCTTGCAGATCTTTATTGAACGCTTCCACTCTTTTGAATTTTATTAAACTTAAAACTCCAATGCACTTCAAGCCCCCCAACTGTGGCCCAATAAGTTTCGAGACCCATTGACCCGAATTCGCAGTGAGCGACGATTTCCTTAACTTTACTCATGCAAAATCCATTTTCCCTCTTCTTTCCCCTCTCGCCCCACAGGCAAACACCATCAGCATTATCGGCGCGCATAATGGAAATGGCGCCCCTGACAATCATGTAAAATTGGTGTAAAACGCAGACAAGATGGAGCCCAGGAACAAGGGAAAGCGGCAACGGAATCGCGCAGAAGGCAATAACACATCAAATTGGTATTAGAATTTGTTACTCCGACGCCCCGTGCTAGCTGGCTACGGATAAAAAGTGGGCGGCTCGTGGGCGTGGCCACAGTAATACAAATTGCAGGAAAGGAAAAGGAGAGGGAGCCTGCCGCTGCTTGCAACATAAAAGTCAATTAATGTACAATTACAACAACGACGGGAAGAGCAGCAACAGGAGAGGCCAGTGGCTCCAAGAGGGGCAGAAATTACTGCAAATTACACGCAACGAGTCCTGAAAGCTGCGGTCCAAGTTGGAGCAGCAGCCGGAAGTCGAGTGGACTGAGGAGGAGGAGTTGGAGGAGGAGGAGTCGCAGGAGGAGCAGGAGGAATCGGTGTACCAGAACCTCGAGCTGGTGCCATCAACGCGACCACCGCCTCCCCCGTCGCCATTGCCATTGCCATCAGCATCCGCAACGGCATCAGCAGCAGCACCACCATCATCATCACCATCATCGCCATCAGCCACTCCACTGCCATCTATTGTCCAGCGGTGGTAGGAGCAACAACAACCAAAACGGCAACAACAACAACAAAGAGAACGGCAACGGCAACGGCAACGAAAAGGACAACGAAGGCGGCGGCAACAAAATGACTTTCGTTAACAAGCTGAGCAAAAGCTTCCGCTGGCTGCGCTGCTCAACATTGTGCGCAATTTTGTTTTATATGTTCTTCATTGGCCTGATCCTGCACAGCACCAGCCACAAGCTGCAGCAGCAGCTAAAGGAGCAGGGCAGCAGTAGCAGTAGCAGTAGCACAAGTAGCAGTAGCAGTAGCAGCAGTGGTGGCATCAACACACAGGCCGAGTCCAAAATGGCGCCCAACGTGGGGCATAATGGCGGCCAACGCGGACAAAATTCGCTGCAGGAACTGGAGCAGCAACAAAAACACGAGCAAAGGCTGAGGTCTGAGCCCGTGGCAAACAGTTTGGATTTGGGGGATTTGGCGGGGAACGGATACCACCACCTACACCAGATTCGGCCCCAAAAAGCGGTGCAAAGTGCGGCTAGCAGCAATGCCAGCAAATCCCCTAACCAGCCAGAAACAGTTATTTTAGCGGCCAGCAATGTGAACGAGAAGCAAATACTGGCGAAAGCTTTCAAACGGTAAGTTATGGCCTTGGTCCCTGGGCCTCGGTTTGTTCGGTTGATAATTTGGCACTAGTTCGGTGGCTTCTTTATTGTTGCGCATAACGATGTTGCCTGCGGCTTTCATCGCTCCCCCCAACAGCTTCGAGGGCTCCCCCTTTTTACCATTCAATAACTTCTGTGTAGGACAAATTGTAAAAATTAGTGGCAATAGCAACAGCAGCTGGAATTGATGGATGTTCTGACGCAGGAAAAGGGGGCCAAGAAGTTGGTGGCAAGGTTAGTTCAGATTGGGTCAGATTAAATCAATAAGGACACGGACCGAGATTTGTTGACTGCCATGCTTTTGATTTGTTTCGAGCAATCAGGATAATCGAATTACAAACTTGCCGCAACGCGAACATAGTAAACATTGATTGAAAAGTTTCGTCGAGCAAAACAAGAAGTATTAAATTAAAGCTGTCCAAAGGGAATAAATGAAATATTTATCATACCCAACAGGAATTGGTAGAACGAAACTTAACCAAAATCTAAGGGAGACTAACTTTCAGTTGCCAATTTAAATTAGAGTTCGTGTAGAAGAACTTCAATTATATTTATATTTGCTTTAATAATTTTCCTATTTAAGTAATGTTTTCCTGTCCATGCCTTGCTCTTACTTGGTTTCCCGGAAGCCCCTTTGATTTCCATCCGCATGACTGGCACTATTCCCCTAATTACTTGAACAAGGTATATAAAACGCTTGCACAACGCTCTCCTGCACAAGCGATTAGGCAATTGGCCAATTACTTGGCTTCACTAGAGGTCGTAATAGATTAGTTGATGGCTGCCGGTGTTTGGGCGAGAGGTGGTCAGACGGAAAATAAAAAGTTTCCAGTCATGGTTTTGGTTGAAATTGCAATTTGATGCTCTCGGGTTACGGGGGTAATCAAGCAGTCAGTATGCCAGAAATTCACCAACCAGAAATACCCAGAAATGCCAACCAGAAAAAAAATAAAACTTGAGGTGTTGAAAAGAATTTGAAAGAAAATAAATTTTGGGGCAAATAACGGAGGGAAATCAAACTGTCACTGCAATTTCATATTTATTCGATTTCCTTCTTGGCCCGACCCGAAAGTTTTGGCCTCCTTTAGCCAGTGGAAGCAGTCAAAGTTGCGGTTGGTAAACTTTAAACGTCTTTTGGCAAAACTCATTTCAATTCAATAAATAATAAAGTAGAAAGGCATGTGGCTGTTGGGATTTTTCGATTTGAGGCTGACTGTCTGACTGTGACCTCGAGATGTTCAGCTCTTCTAGGATTATAAATGCCAACTGAGATATCCAATTGACCTTTGCTGCTAATGAGAATTTATGTTAGTTTAATTAAGTTTGGAGCAAAGTGAATGATGCTTTTAACAGATTTGCATTGTGGGATAATCAAACAGACATTCTCTGATTGGGGGAATTGAAATCTATCTATCTATTGCCATTGATTTATTTTATTTGTCCAAGTTAATTTATTATTTAAAATCATTTATTATAAAAAGAGCGTTTTATCAAATGACTGGTTAAGTCAAGCAGGTTAGAGAAACTCTCTATTAGGCAACCAACAAATATTTCATAAACAGAAATTTTGAGTTTTGCATAATATTCTAAAATGAATTAACTTTGTTATTTGCAAATAATGGACATAGCTAAATAAGAAAAATTATTAACTATATCAATTTTGTCAATAATAATGAATTTGAAATAAAATTTAATATATAAATCATGTTGAATCACCCTGCAATATTCATAGCTTTTCCGCACAGCTGATCATTTGAGAGCTCTGAATTTAAGTCTGCCCACAAGCTAGATTCTTAAGGGGGGAAATACAATTAGAAAATTTTTTTTTTCGAAAAATTTTTTTTTGGCCTAATGTACTCCAAATATATCTGGGAATAAGCCTTTAAAAGAATAAAGCCGTCCGGTACTTATTTTCAGAGTTATACGCAATTTAGTGAGGGTGTCTCATATGGCGGACATGCACAAAAGTAAACTTTAAACGCTTCTCCTGAAAAGTCGTGTTTTCAAAGTCGCCGTGCAATGTACAGCTCAGAGATTTTATTTTAATCGAATGCGGTTTTTTGTATTATGTTTGAAATTAAATTCTCCACACCATGAATATAACGGTTTTTCATATTTGTTTGTTATAACATGTTTTTTTTACAATCAAAGTCAAAAAAAATCGTTTTTTTTAAATTTTTTTTTAACCTAAAATTTTTTAATGGAAAAATAATTTTTTTTAAATATTTTTTAATTCATGGTGTGCGCGGTACCTTTAAGTTTAAAGCCCAGTTGCTGTTTTTTGTTTAAGTCGTGATCCTGGACCTGGAGACTGCACGGCGCAAAGTCCTTCCCTAAAAACACGACTCTACATTATTGATCATAAATGGGCTTAATTACAATATTTTTCAAAAAACTTGACTGATTTTAATTGCTCAATAATTACCTAATAACATGCAAAAAGAATCACTAAGATTCATTTAATACCCTTCTTGCAATCCACTCCCAAAGATAGCCCTCATTTCAGGCCTTCTAATTGTATTTCCCCCCTTAAGTGTTCCGATGCTTTCGCCTCATCGCATTTTGGTTTGGCTCAAGGCCATGGAAAATGTCTCCTTTTCCCTTTGGCCTTTGTTCCTTTTTTAACGACCTTTGGTACTTACGATAACCAGTTAAAACTCCGGAAGGCATTCACCTGAAAGCTGTCCATCAACGGAGCGCTGGATGTACTTTAGTTTTCAGTGAAAACAAACACTGGAGGGATTAAAGCAAATACGAACCGAGGGTCTCGACACCAAACTTTTTCCAACTCCGCGGGCCAGTTGGTCAGTGTGGATTCCTCTTCAGGGTATTTAACTTCATCGGACAGCTAGGAATCCGGACGTAAACGCATTTACCGTCCGTATTTGTTTATAGATAAATGGCTGAGTGCGTATGTGGCCGCACATATTTGCACAGGCTTTATTAATATTTGACGAAGGACAACATTTAAAACCATCGACACCCGAGGGAACCGGAATTTATTCCAGTTTCTACTCAGACAAAATTAAAATTATTTGCATAGCATTTGTTGCGCCGCAAATTTGCAATTTATTTAAGCCAGTCCTGAATAGCTGCATACTATATATGGTATATTGAATTACCAACAATCGAATTCGAATTAAATTTAAACTCTGCCAAGCGGCAATTAAAACGCAACTGGGACGTGAAACTAAATGGCTTTAAATGTGCATTGTTTGGCAGAATATTTGGATCTTAAAGGCCCCTCGGGGCCAAAGTGAGTTATGTGGAGATTTCCACTTGTCGCCTTCGCATTAAACTGCAATTAAACTGACCAGAAAATGTTGTGATAATTGCGTTGCTGCCTGAAATTAATAGCCGTCATTTTGCAAACGACCCCATTCCCCCACTGGCATTTCGCCTCCGTGACCACGCCCCCCGAATGCTGAACCGCCCCCCTCGCGTTTCTGTATGTAAATTCCATTTTAATAATGCGGTTGACAGTGGGCGTGAGATTCAGCATCCAGTTCGTTATTCCGTGGGTGTCCTGTTCGTTTTTAGGAGCAATTAAATTTTATCTGCAACTGTCGCCTCATCGGGTTGTTGAAAGGGACATTGTTATAAATTTTAATTGTGAGCAGTCGGTGTCCCTTCACCTCGATGCCTTCCCTGCGGGCAGCCACATGCCATCGACAGTTGGCAGTTGTGCCATTCTGCCGTTCTGCAGTTCCAATCTCATATCCCATGCATGACCGAATCGACCAGTGAGGCGGGCTAATGTCCTGTGTCCCGTGTCCCGTGTCCTGTATCCTCCGTTTCGTGTCCTGACTGACTTTTGCATCCAATTAGGCCTGCCTGCGGCACCCGCAGCCTGCCACGCCCACGTTGCTCATTGATTGGGCGTTGTGCTAAAATTGCACGCTTCCCTTTCCCTTTTCCCCTCCATTTTCCTCCCCGCCATTTTCCATTTTCCATTTTGTGTGTTCCTGTGCGAGCGCAGCAAAGTATGCAATAAACTTTCCCAGAAGTTTGAGCGCAACACGCGGAAAACTTTTTTCGCGCGAGCTTTTCTATTGTAGTTGTTAGTGCGCTTAGTAAGTGTGTAGTGCGGTAATGTGATTTATGTTTTCTTTTTTCTCTTCCGAAAAGTTAACACCTTAGGACTTATGTTGACTTGCTGAAAAAAACTTATTTCACTTCGCTAATGAGGTAGAAACTTTTTAATAATATATAATTCAATGAGCAGGCCACTGAATGGATTTTCTAAGGAGTTGGTTTACTATAGCTATTGAAGGCTAATTATTAAAAGGCAGTGTTCATTATAACTTTGTATTTTAACAAAATTTATCTGCGGGCAATGGATAACTCGTTAAAACCTTCTTTACATAATGCAATTAGTTTTGTAATACAATTTATTGTATTTTACAATTCAAAACTATCAGCCAGAAAAGTACTTTTGCATTTTACCAAGAAACTTTTATTTTCTTTGACTAAAAAGTTAGAGCTTAAAACTTCGACTCATATTTAATTGAGAGAAACAAAGTGACTTTAGAAACTGCCCCAAGGTATTGAAACTTGCAATTCCAGTCGAAAGGCCTAGACTAAACAGTTGGTATCAAGTTTGAAGTAATCCCATTAAATTTTCAGCAGTTGAGCTTAACTTCTGCCATCAGAACTGAACGTAAGGAACCTGCAAGCGAGACAGCCAATCAGAGTGAGAAGGATGGGGCGAGAGAGTTGAGCGGATAAATACGAACACAAGTTTCCCTCGTTCTGGTGTATATGCAATCAAATAATAGTGCTAGGAACCACTCAAAAGCCCTTCTATGCGAGGAGGCATCCTGTTGGCCAAGTCCTTAGACAAAACCCCTTCCCAAAAACGAGCTACAGGAATCACGGCGGTGGCAGAAGCAATTGGCCAACTTCAGTGGAACCGCAGGCTTATGCAAAATGCACTTTGCGCTTTGTAACAAATCTCCATCACCCCTTTTTGCCCCCCTATCCACTGTTGCAAAAGGGCTTTCTGAATCGTGTACTTCCCCTTTTTCGGTTCGCTTTCAGAGCCTCAATGGCAGGGATGTACGAATGGCAGAAGTTGTTCCCATTCGCATTTTTTTGCGAGTCAATTTCTTGCACGTACAAGACGCCAAAGGAAGAAATGCAAAGCTTGAAAACTTTGTTTTTATATTCGGGGACTTAGCCGGCAGCCCCCTTGATCCCTCTTTGGCGGAAACTGGGGGAACCGACCACAAACGTTTCTCATATACATTTCAGCCAAACTAGAGAGCCAAAGGACGTGACCGAAAAGAGGAATTAGCCGGGCGGAGCGGAGCAAAGTTGCTCGCCGGCAAAGGAAGAGGCAACTTGAAACCGTTTTAGTTGCAACTTTATTTATTTATCAACTATATGCTAATGAAACCACTGTGCGGTGGCTGCCTCCTCCTCTGATTCCGCTTCTTCTTCTTCTGCTGCTGCTGCCACTTCCGTTTCCGCTTGGTCCCCACTTCCCCGCATACACAATGTATACATATATTATATATCTACGTACAAACAAACAAACACAATTGCTCGCACAAACAAATGGTCGCGGTCCTCTGCCATCCGCTGATTATTCCAGTGGTTTGCTGGCCTCATCCTGCCACTCCCACTCCCCCAAATTCCCCCTGGTCCCTGCCACCTCCTCTTTCCTCCTCAAGTCCCCAATAAGCAGCTTTAATATCTGACACCTGTTTTGGGCATTCGCACTTCATGGCTGGGGAGAGGTGGGCACTTGAAGAAATATTCTAAATTATTATACACCGGGGGAGAAGTAGAAAATAAATAAATAACAGATATTTTAGTAAGAAAAGAAAGAAAAAAGAGAAGAATTGTAAACTTTCATTAAAAATTTCTGGAAAGTACACTCAGTTTTAAATGTATTCGGTTTTTTTGCTTGTAAAATTTTATTCAAAATTTTCGCTCGATAAAGTCTTTTTGCATAAAATAAAAAAATTGTATAATTTTTTTGGATATAGTACCTTTTCCTTTGTTTATTTCCTGAATTTCTAGCTCTTACTTAGATCATTTTTCAAGTGCAAACAGTGCCTTCGGGCCTGAGAAATCATTAGACAGCTGTCACATGCAGCATTTGGTGGCACCACTTCTCTGCGGTGAGGCAAATGGAAGCTGGGGATTCCGGTGAGGTGTGTGTGGCAAGAACGTGGACGAGACAGGTATTCAACAGGGAACTCGAGCAAAACGCCAGGGGAGCCAGTAGGTTGCTGTTAATTTATAATGTACATTTGATTTGGCTGCTGTAACTCAGTTACGTTTGAAATTATTCAGAAAGTGTTTGCAGTTATTACCCAATTTAGAGGAACTTTTAAGGGAGTCCTTGAAGGTGTTTTAATGTAATGGAAAATTCATGTATCTTTAATTGTTTTATTGTTTGATTCACTTACTAAAGTAATTAGGTTTAATAGAGAGTATTTATTATAACACTTTTAGGGGATGATTTAAAGGGATGATTTAAAGATTCATTTATATGTATAGTTATATATATGTTATTAATATTTGTTAATATTTTTTGAAGGGCTGATCGCAATCGCGATGGCATTTTGTCGATCCAGGAGTTGGGTCAGTACATCAACCGTCGGATTGTGGAGCACATCGATGAGGCAATCATGAACAATGCCCGCGAGTTCCGGAGGGTGGACATTGGACCCGCCGATGGACTGATCACCTGGGACGAGTACCACCGGTTCTTCTTGAGGGAACACGGCATGACAGAGGCGGACATCGATGAGCACGACGAGATTCGCCACACGGCTCTCAACCGAAAGGCCAGGGAGGATATGATGAGGGACAAGGCTCGATGGTCAGAGGCAGCTCGAACGGATCTGTTTACTTTAACCATCGATGAGTACTTGAGTTTCCGTCATCCGGAGTCCAGTGTGTCCAATCTCTTGGAACTCGTTGACGATCTGCTGCGTCAGTTCGATCAGGATGGAGACGATCAGCTCACTCTGGAGGAGTTCTCCGATCTAAATGTGGACGATGACGATGATCTGATGAGAAAGTCGTTGATTTCGAAGACATTGGTGGAGCGACGCGAGGAGTTCAAGCGGATCATCGACAAAAACCACGACGGCAAAGCGGATCGAGGGGAACTTCTGAACTACGTGAATCCCAAGACTCCGCGATATGCTCTTCAAGAGGCGGCAACTTTGTTTAGTCTATGCGACGAAAACAAGGACGAGTTGCTAACCATCAAGGAGGTGAGAAAAATATAGTAAATATATCCTACTAACCAAAATACAGAAACGCATCTGATTAAATAGGTCCCCGTTCAGTAAATTCAGTAATAATAGCCTTCAGTGTTAAAATATAAGAATGTATTATACATACTATACATCCTAATTAATGGAAAACATAAAACATATCATAATATCGTATACTACATTTAATAAATAATCGAATTCTTACAAAAATGTTTTTTTTTTACCACAGATGACTGACAATGCTGAGATATTTCTGCAATCCAAGATGATCGACACTGCGAATAGTTTTCACACCGAATTCTAATTAAGATTTAACCCATCATCACCCTTAACCCTTTGAGCATTTATAGTGATATTAATTTGTAAGTTCTGGCACCTAAAATAGACAACTTAGTAGCAAAGCGCCTTTTTTGTTATTCATTTTTATGAGCCACTAAGATCAGATGTAAGGCATAAAAAAGGAAATCATTTCGTTGTGTGATTTTTCAATAATTAACTTTTAAGAATGCTAAGCAAACAAAACTTGACACAAATACTCAAAATAAATATATATACGTAATTGTATGAAACTCGAGGAGTGGCTTTTTATCGTGGATTAAATCCGTGCACCTTCTCATTAATTTACCCACTCATCTCGCCTCGCTAATCTCCGATTACAAATGATTTGCCCTTTTGGCAAAGTATGAAATTAAATTTCAGCCGCCTTTGAAATCCTCTTAAGGACATCTTCCATCTGAGCTGACAAATCACTCGACATTAAGTATAAGTCCTTGTTCAATTTGTTTGTTTCGTTCTGTCTCTGCTGCTGCTGCTCCTGTGCACTGATGATAAATATGGCTGGGGACGAATGATAAATAAGTGTCACTTGCAAAAAATTTCCAAGAAATCCTGTCCCCCGTCGAAGACTGAAGACTGAGGAATATCCTTGAGAGGGGAATTTTACAAGCAATTGACTTTCTGATGGGTGTTAATACCTCTCTAATGCCCCGCTTACCCACCCATCCAGCCTGTCCAGGTGAATGATTTAAAATGTACGGCGAATAGTGATGGATAAGTTGTACTGAGCCACGAACAGATGCATCAGCAGGATGTTCTCGGCTACGTGACGTATATGTGCGTGTGTGGCGAAGAATCCTGTCGGGCTAACGTTACGGGAATAATAATCCCCGGTCCAAGTCGCATCTTATCAAAGGCAGACACGCCGGAAAATAGGGCCAAGCGGATCGGGGGACTCCCAGCCAGCTCCTAGTTCCCTTCAATAGAAGTGCGGTGGGTAATTGAATCTAATTGTTCGGAAGCGCAGATAATGAGCACGTAAAACGCAAGGACGAAAACCGGGGGAGCCAAGGACACGGCTCAGCCTTCTGTATCTGGGGGGAAGGAGAAGGAGGATTGGTTCCCATTCACTAAGAGAAACACATAACCCCCGTAATAAGGTAGGCAAACACATCAATTCGGTTAATAAGATACAGAGTTAGGAGATGCAAACAGGACGATGTATATTGTATGAGTTAGAAACAGGCTACTCAGGATATGTATCTATCAGGTTTCATCCCGATGATTGGACTTTGGGTGTGAATTTGTTGGATAATTAACGAGCATGAAACCAAGTTGCATTAAACTTTAGATTTATTAAACGAAAAGGTTAAATTACCTTTTCTGTTTAAAAAATTTTGTTTATGGTACAAGATTTAGAGGTAAATGTGATTTATGGAAATGAATAATTTGTCGCTCAAAATATAACTTTTAATTACAACAAAATATCTGTTTACAATAAATTAGTTTTAATGCAGTTCAAATACTTTTTTAATGAACTCTTGTTTAATATCTTATCAAAGTGGAACTCAAATTAATGAAGTAAAAAGCACCGCATTTCAGTTGTGGTTCATTTCAGTGAAAAAAATAATAATTTATGATTTTAATCAGCATTTAGAAATTCCCTTTTATCTTAATAACCTTTTTTGTTAACAAAGCTGCACTGGGAAACCCCAAAAGAGCGGTTCAAAGTCCCCATGATTCATGAGTGGTATTCATAAATTAAGTTAGCAACATAAAACAAATGGCATCAGGCTAACTTAACGAGCCGCAAAAAAAGAAGCCACATTTCCCACACGAAACATGGCCGAAGCAAAGAAAATGGAATGGCCTTGTCTAGTACAAATGTTTTGCATTATTGGAGCATGGCGAAGGGATGGAAGGGGTGGAAATGAACTGGGAGTGCCAGGACGAGTCCACATCGAGGATATACATATAGGATACACGTAACTTACATTAGTCAGTCACTTGCCAGTGGGAAAATTGCTGAGCATGCCGAAAATACTGTGAGGCTTTTGGAGGAAATTGCTATTACCGAAGTGAGAGGCCGGCACGCCCCCTTCCCCTTCCTCCTTTGCCACGCCCCTCTGTCGAAGTCCTGCATAAATATGCCAAACACATACTGAGAAGAGTTTTCTATCTGCCACTGTTTTGTGTTGCCATAAATGCTTCATCTTCAACTCATACATATTAAAATCTGGCAAAATAAACTTCAACAGTTCACAAAGCACAGCAGAAAACACAAACATGCTCACAGGACGAAGGACCAAAGGGGTTGGAGGGGAAAAAGGGGGTTATGGGGTCGAAGGGGTGACCGCCGGAGTGGAGCTCATGCATTTTAAAATTCAGCCATTAGAGAAACCAAGTTATTTTGTATGCAGAATATTATTTGGCTTTTCCCCACCCTCGCTTCAAAATTCTTTTTTTTTTTGGTTTTGTTTTTGGTTGACATTGCATTTTACATTCTTGCTGAGCAACCCGCAAAACACTCTGGAGGTGAGACACGTTTGTAGCAATTAAATGTTTTTTCTCCAATTTGCTGCATAAATCAGTTTTAAATGTTATAGTGCAAATAAACGAAATGGGTCATAGCCTCTTTGGGGAGGGAGAAAATGGCCAGAAGTGTTCAGAGAAAGATTGCTTGGCTAAAATTGGCCCACAACAAGGCGTTTAACAGGATTTTCTGGGCGGCTCGAAATGACGACCTCAGACAATGGCAAAAATATTGGTTTGAGGACTCATATTTTAAAAAAACCTTTATTGAAAAAATTCAAGGTATTTTTTATGGCTTTATTTAATAAATAAGTAATAAGGTTTAAACTAAAGCGATTAAGTTTTTATCTATGGCATGCATCGCGATTACCAACTTTAATTGAAAATTGTTAGTTTTAATGATTAAACGAATTGCTTGCCATGGTGTTTAATAGATTTCGTGCTTTAAATATTTATTTAACAATAAAATGCCTAGTTGTTTAATCACCCAAATTGTTGCCTGAATACAAATGAGGTGTAAAAGTACATTTTAAATTTTGACTATTTATTTTTATATCACGTTTGGCAAACATATAGCTATAAATAATTTAACGTTGAGTAATTTTGAGTGTGTTAAATGGCCTCATTGATTTCGGGAATTCGTTTAAATGAACGCACATGCATTGCCCAAAAAAGTATGCAGAGATTTTAGTTTCACCAGACTTTCAAAATAAACTTTCATTTGTACAGCAAAAATGATACTGAAACAGAATTTCGAGCGAGGTCTGTTCTCTGGAAACAAAACAATTTAAAGCATGAAATAATATTTTACTAGTGACCAGTATAAAAAATTCATATGATAGGCATTCGTGTTGTATGCGAAACTGATTGAAATTTGAATGATTTTATGTTTTGCAGCGAAAAACTTGCAGCACCACTAGACACACAATAAATTCTACATGCATGAACTTTGAATAAAAGCGCTCCATCAATGAAGTTGAATGAGTTTAATATTTATTTGATTTTGGCTAACAATAACTTTTGTGTCCATTGTGCGAAAAGAAACCTGGCCAGGGCCAAAAATGACAACAAAAGGTAATTTAGCAGTAACAACTCGAAGTCAAACACTTAACTTACTTCAATGTGTGTGTGTGTGGGTGCGAGGATGTCGTGCTCGTTTGTGTGTGTGTGAGTTGTGGTGAGAAGGGGAGAAAACTCATTCACCTGCATGATGGGAAGTAAAAAGCAATTTTCGTAACATTTGCATGCCTTAAACTAACACAGACGAATGGAGCGCCAGGATAAGAACGGAGCTCTTGACGATGCGAGCAGGATGAAAATGAAAATAAGGATGATGGCGACGGGAAAACACGGCCTACCTTTCACCGGAGAGTGGGGAGTGGGGGAGGGCGAGCGGACTGGGGGAGGTGAAAAAGGGCCTGGCGAAAGGAAAAACTACTGCGTGAGTGTGCGTGTGCTGATGTCGGTGTAAGTAGAATGGAGTACGTGTTATGCTGAAAATGCAATTTGCCTTCTGTGCGAAATGTACGGAAAATTTATGCAAATTTCCCCCTTGACCCCGGTGTCACCCGACCCCACTACCCCTCGTCATCTCTCGTCACCTCTAACCCCCGCACACACACACTTTGCAACACCGCCGCCAACAAGCGGAAACAGGAAGTGCGACCATTGTTGGGGGTGTAAGTGTGTGTGTTTTTTTTTTTTTTTTTTTTTTTTTTTATAGTAGGTGGTAAAGCTTGAAGAGCCGAAGTCTGGGTCTTTCACCCAGTAAAACCCCGAACCTACTCTCCGTTTCCCTTCTCACGGTACAACCGCAGGGGTTAACCTTGGGTATTACTTCGCGAGGGGGAGATGGCCTGAAAAGCCGCAACTAGTAATTAAACTAGGTTAGACGACGGTTGCGCTGACGTTCAGCGCGACGCATGGATTTCATGACAAAGACTGTCATTTTGCTGACGGCATCCCAATTGTTTTGTGAGCCCAGTAGCGTATCCATCAGGTCAGAGACCGTGAACGGCTTCCCAATTGCTAGGCTGAGCTCATGCCTTATAGCTTCAAATTTCGGACATAAAAAGAAAACATGTTCTGCGTCTTCGATTGCCCCAGTACACTGTGTGCAGAACGGGTCCGTCTCGTGCCCAAACCTATGAAGATAGGATTTAAAGCACCCATGTCCTGTCAACAGTTGCGTCATGTAGAAGTCAACCTGTCCGTGCTTTCTTTCAACCCAACGCTTCACATCTGGCAGTAGCTTGTACGTCCACCTACCCTTTGTGCTTCCACTCCACCGGTTTTGCCACGCTGAGACCACGCGGGCTCTACTCTCCTCGATCGATGCAAATTCGCCGGCCAGCTCCTGCGCCTGCTTTGCGAGCAGGTCTAGGGGCGTCGTGGCGGCTAGCAATAACGCGCTTTCCTCGGAAATGGTCCGAAAGCCACATATAACTCGGAGTGCGGCGCGTCTGTATGCCGCCCTGCATGAGCGACTATATGTGGGCGAGGTCATGGCCGGAGCCCAGATCGGTGCCGCATACATGATTGTGGATTTCACCACATTTGCCAGAAGGCGCCTGCTCTGCTGTTTTGGCCCGTTAACATTCCCTAACATTCTAGCTAAAGACGTGGCAACTTTGGCCGCTTTGTTGCCCGTCACCTCTAAATGGAATTTGTACGTAAGCCGGTGGTCCAGCATTACGCCAAGATACCTAATGAAGGGCTTGGACCGTATAATTGTCCTACCCACTATTATTTGGGCGGTTTCTACTGCCTTCCTGCTGCTGATCAAGACGGCTTCCGTCTTGTGCTCGGCGAGCTTCAGGCCATTAGCACATAGCCAGTGGGAAGCTTGCTCGATAGACGCATTAGTTACTGCTTCGGCTTCATTTAGGTGCTTCGCTACTGCGACGACAGCAATATCGTCTGCGAAGCCAATGATCGTAGCTCCTTCAGGGAGCTGTAGGTTCAGTATTCCATCGTACATGCAGTTCCAGAGGGTAGGGCCCAGCACCGAGCCCTGGGGAACTCCTGCTGAAACTGCATAGCTTCGACGGCCCTCCTCAGTATCATATAGAAGCTGTCTGTTGCTAAGATACTCTGAGACTATGTCCACCAGATAGCTGGGGACCTGTAAACGTCTCAGGGCTGAGAGTATCCGCACCCAGTTGGCAGTATTAAATGCGTTCTTTACGTCCAGGGTAGTCACAAGGCAGTATTTTTTGCTACCGCCTCGCCAACGTGCTCCCTGGATTGCCTCAGAGGCCAGTTTGTGTACCAGCCCGATCGCGTCCACTGTGGATCGCTTCTTCCTGAAACCAAATTGATTGTGGGATAAGCCCGGACCCTCGGACAGTGCAACTTCGATGCGGTTGCAGATTAGCCTCTCGTATACCTTTGCCACAGTGTCGAGCATGCAGAGTGGCCTATAGGCCGCAAGGTTGTCATTTTGACTGCCCTTGGGTAATAGTACCAATCTCTGCATTTTCCAGGCTTCAGGGAACGTTCTCTGTGCGAAACAGGCATTGAAGAGCTTTACGAAGATCTCCAATCTCTCCGTCATTATTATCTTTAATGCCTTGTTAGGGATCATATCTGGGCCAGGGGCCTTTTCGACTTTGATTCTCCTAACTTCAGCCAAGACTTCCGCAGCATTTGTGAACGTGGGAAAAATCTCACTTTGAAGCGGGGAGGGCTCTTGCTGTGGCTGCAGTACTACACTCGGCGGGAAGAGGTGCGCCACTATGTTGCTGAGCTGCTCAGGACATGTTGGGGTGGGCTGGCTGAAGGCCGCCAACTTCCCCATTACCAGCTTGTACGCTGTGCCCCAGGGACGTGTGTCTGCGTCATCGTATAGTTTAGCGAAGCATTGTTTCTTGCTCGCGGAGATCTCCTTTTTAAGAGCCGTCCGCAAGGATTTGTAGAGGCGTTGGAGTGAGGCGAAGTTCGGCCTACCTCGAGAGCGCATATATTGCCTTCGTGCCTGGTGGCACTTCCTGCGCGCCTCCGCTATGGCATCGGTCCACCAATACACCGGGGGACACCCATTTCCGCCAGCACGTCTCCTTTCCATGGAAGCTGCACATGCTGACCAGGTTGCTTTTTTAATGCATACAGCATTTTCGTTGGCGTTCTTACGCTCGTCATACACGAGATCTTCCGCCATTAAGATCAGGGCTTGCGGGTCGAGGGTAGAATCTCGGAACCCAGTGGACGCATTGATGTTTTTGCGTTTATATCGCCCGTCTCTTATTTCCATGGTGATGGCCCGGTGGTCGCTTCCGGTATATATCTCTGAGACTTGCCATGCTGACGTCCTGGTTAAGGTTGGGCTCATAAACGTGATGTCGATCACTGAACCCATTCCCGCCTTCTCGAATGTGTTGGCTGACCCTGTGTTAGCCAGAGTGAGGCCTGACCGGGCAATAGCGTCCAACAATATGTGGCCTCTATGGTTTGTGAGGCGACTGCCCCACTCCGTTGCCCAGGCGTTGAAATCGCCGGCAATGATGATGGGGTGTCGTCCTCTGGCGTCCTCCAGAATGTCGTCAACAATGCTGCCAAATGTCTGCGAGTCGACACTGGGTGCAATATAGCACGAATAGATGGTAAGGCTACCCACCTTCGCCCTGACAAAACCTCTGCCTGAATGCCGGCATTGGATCTGCAGTGGTCTCGGGCTGCAGCTCCAAATTGCTGCACCACCTTGGGAGTTTTGAAACCAAATCCCATCGTGCTTACTTGCGTATGGCTCGCTCAAGATGGCCAGGTCTATTTTTAGGGCTCGCACCGTTTGTGCAAGCAAGTCCTGGGCCGCTCTGCAATGGTTCAAATTCAATTGGAGAATTTTCATCTCCCCTTTGCTTTGAGAGCCTGCTGATAAGCTGGACAGCTTCTGCTAAGCGTGTGGTGCTTGCTGTTTGCGCCCTGGGTTTTTGCGCATAATAGGCAGCGTGCCTCTTTGCTGCAGCTTTTGGACTCGTGATCGAGCCCACCGCAGTTAAAGCACGCTTTGGACAGATCGACCTTGCTACGGCAGTGCAAGGCCATGTGACCAAATGCGAGGCATTTATAGCATCGCTTTGGCTCATCGGACTTACGGACCCTACAGTGCGCCCAGTCAATGCGGATTTTTCCTTCTGCTAGGATCTTCTCCGCAAGAACGGGCGGGATGCTCAACCTGGCTACTTGTGTGCCCCCGTATGCCTTCCTTAGGGAAGGAATGGCCGCAGGTGGGATGTCGCCCTCATAGTTGGCGAAAACCGCCTGGATGATATCGTCCTTCGACGAGAACTCTGCTATGTCCCTAATCTCAACCTGGACTAGCTCCTTCAATTCTTTAACCTCTGCCTTATCAGACAGAGTCTCCTGCATTGCCTTCTGTAATTTGGATGTGGCTGGGTCGGCCGTTTTCATCATTTTGATGAGTAGCTCGCCCCTACCAGTCATCCGTATGCCTTTGACGCAATCTTTGTGTTGCTGTAAAGTTGGGTTGTTTTTCACCAACTTTAACACGTCGGCATACTGCATGCCCTCGCCACACTTGACGACTAGTGCGTCTGTGCGTGGAGGCAGTTTTCTATGCTGCTGCTGCTTTTTTGGCTGCTGCTTCTTCGGTTTTTTGGTAACCGTCGACCATTTCTCCGCACCCTCCTTCGTGCCTTTGTCCGCATGGCTCGGCGGAAGGGGGCCGGAAATTTGCTTCGCTGCACTTGCGTAGGTTATGGCTTTCACCACCTTATTGCTTGTACCGCAAGGTTGCGGCACCTTCTGCCTTTTTGGCGCTGAGAGCTTACCGGCTCTAGGGCTCTCACGTGACCTTTTGGGAGTGGGCTTTTGCTCACTGGGATTTTTTGGAGCCGTCTCCAGAATCCTGACTGCTGACTTTTGGAGGGCGATGACCTGCTGCACGAGTTCCTTCATAGGAATCGTCACCATCACCCTCGTCTTGCCTAACATCATACTGTTAAGCTGGGACAATTTCGCCCCGATCGCTCCAACAACTCCGTCTATGTCGCCATTGGCGATAAGCGGAGCCAGTCCCTGCTCGGAAATTGCGCTGAAATGGAAGACCCCCGCTTCTGTGGGACCTCCAGCATGCGCCGTATCCGCCTGTTCCTGCTCTACTGCAGGCGAGAAGATGGGTGGAGATTTTGGCACCTTTGTCGGTGATCTCCCCATCTTGCTACTCTTCCTAAATGGGTCAGCTTCTGGCGCAGCAGAGTCTTCAGCTGCTGCGCTTTTGGCCTTGCCCTGAGTCGTCTCCTTAGTTATGCTAACCGGGCCAGGGCCACGGCTCGCCATCCTTTAAATCTTTTGACTCCTACCTGTCGCCTAAAAATATGCTATACTTGGTCGGAGGAGAGCTTGCTTTAGAGCTTTCCCCGCGAGTTGGCAGCTCGGCTAACGCTTGCGCAAAAGTTGGTAACTCTGCAGCGCAGCTGATCAGTCAACTGACCACGAAGATGGCAGACCTAATCACCCAATTCGGAAAATTGAGTGAAAAGGGCTTTCACTCACCTGCAGGGGGGTATCACCCCTTCGTCCCAGTGCCGAGCCGACGCTACTGGAGCCAGAGGGATTCTGGGGTCCAGGGAAGACCTCCGCACACTGGTATGTTTATCCTTCCACAACTATGGGTCGCTACAACCCCTTCTCTTCAATTTTAGATGTCGCACACGCGGATCACAACGTAGGAAACTTGTTTTCGCGCACTCGAATATAAAACACGTCCGGTACGCAACGACTTTCCACTCTCTCTCTGTAAGTGTGTGTGTGTGTATGAGTTTTTGTTTGTGTGAATGCGTGCGCGTGCATCCATGTGAGTGCCTGCGCTGCGTGTGTCTGTGCGAAAGCGCTAAAATGAAAATATAGTGAAATATGCGATAGAAGCGGAAGGTCTCCCCCGCGGAGCGGCAGCTATAAAGAAATCAAATCATCGCGGGTTATGGCCCATAAAGTACCCTCGAAATTATACAAAAATTAAATACGGAATGGCTTGAAAAAAATATTTCATTTTCTCCTCTTAGAAAATAATATTATGGTTTTATGGATTAAGTTTTTTAACTCTATGGAGCGAAGAAATGGGAGCCAAATTATTTAAATTTATGAACTTGCAAACAATATCTTAAATTTTTTCTAAATGCCTTGTATTTTTAATAAAGACTTTAAAGGTTAAGAGTGTTTTTAAACATAAATAACAAGTTAAACCACGGTTACTCAACAAGAATAACATTATGTAAATAGCTTTATTATACCAAAAAGTTCAGAATGTCGAAGATATGCTCACAACAGGGTGTTGTCAATGGCAACGATCCGCAAATAAGCCCTTCGCGGATGCAACAACTAACGCGACAATATCAACAACAAAAACGACCACGCCAACATTGACTGTGGCAAAAAATGTGTTCACAACGCGGTGTAAATTCGCCATCGATAGTTTTGACATTACGTATACGCAACGTTGGTAGCTGTATTCGGGTGTTACTGGCCATGCGGCTCCCCCGTGGCGGATTTTGGCCCTGTAAGGCGGCGCAACGTAAAAAGAGGAGAAATTCCAACCAAAAAAAGTGGGAAAATATTGCGAACATGGCCACATTGATGTGCACTAGGAGCAAAACCTGGCCAATGCCAGAAAAATTTGTGTGTGGGCCCGTATGTGCTGGCTCGGGTTGAAGGGAAAAAAATGAAAAGCCGCCGGTTAGTTCAACAGAGCCGCACGCAACAGTATATGTGAGAAAGTGTGCACTGAGAAAAATAGTATTATATTAAAGATGGTTTAGCGAAATTGAGATAATTTAAGCGGTTTAAAACGTCTTTAATTTTTTTTGTACTATAATACAAAATCTATTTTATTTTGCTTTTTTATACAATTGTTCCTTCTGTAGATCTGTTAAAAAAATATTTAAAACTGTGACAATTAAATCCTTCCTCCTATTTAAAATCTTTAGTTGACACGCCACACTATGTCATTAAAGTTTTTTTGATTTTATTTTAGTTTACTCCTATATTTTTCTGTGTGCCTATGTGCAGAATTGTTTATATTGGATTGCACGTGCCTTTGACATGCCGATCCCTTGTCCGTGTTCCTATTTATGGGCCACCGTGTGTAAGTGTGTGTGCGTGTGTTTGCCTGTGTTTTGGCTTGTGGGCAAAGAAGTTGAAGCGTATTAGGCAAACACAAGCCTCCGGCTTCTCGCACAAACACTAACACTAACACACGTGCTGGCCCCTCTTTGAGAATGCCTTAGTGTGAGTGTGTGTATTTTTGGGGTTTTGGGAGGAGGGGAAGTGGTGTGTGAGTGGCTCCTTTGGTGTGAGCCAAGTGCCAGATAAACGACAGCATTTAATGCGACCAAATCTTTTTAGCGCCGCATCAAGCCATTTTTCAATCCCGATCTGAGCGCAAAGATTAAGTTGTCTTTAAGTCGTCCGGCAGTAGGAGTCCTCCTAAAAAAGAAAATGGAGGATGCAAAGGAATATTGCACAATGGGAGTCCTTTAAGGGCATTAAGAAATAAATCAATCCAATAGTCCCCATTATTGTGATATTTTTATTGCAATAAGATTATTGCATCAAAGCATTTGGTTTACTTTAAGTTTTATTTCAAAGGTTTGTTTATTCGATTGCAGAGAGCTGTTTATCGATTTCTGTTTTAGCCCATTGTCCGTTGTCCGTTTTTTGCCTGCACCTGGTCATTTTCACCTGGCACCAATTGCAGCAATTCAGGTCCAAGTGGAGAAGAGACCAAACAAACGGTAAACGGAAAAGTTTAATTTTCCGAGCGCATGAAAATTAGTTCAGTTCAGTTGGGTTCAGTTCAAAACAATTATTTGAACTTTTCGAATTGGCCGGAAATTCTAGGAGTTTGAAAGACGTAAATGAAGCTTGATGAAAATGGAACTTTTACAGGGCAGAGCGGCATAAAAAAGCCGTAGAAGGAAAGTTTCGCTTACATAATTTACTTTTATGAATGCCCAGGGAGTCGCTCCCACTGCCATTGCCGCCGACGATGCTGCTGCAGAATCCGAAGGCAAAGCCAAAGCTATATCTTTGCTATATCCCTCTGCCTCGCAGGCTGTCGGCATTTTTAATCAGAGCGGATTCCACTCGCTATCTGTCAGCGCTCGCAGAGCAAAAGTTGTATAATAATATTCATGCTTGACATCAAATTCATTAAGAGTGATTAATATTTGTTTACTGCTGTTGTTCGCTGTTTTTCCCAACTCAGTGCTTCGGTTGCGGCAAAAGGAACATTTATTAAATGGTTTCCCAAAAGAGAATCTCTATCCGAAACTTTATTTCTCCGCACTCGCTTTAGCGATGTGACATTCGCTGTTTTCTGCGACCCGACTGGCTGCAAATTAATAGCTGGCTGAGGATTTACGGCTGCGAATATTTCAAGGATATTGGCCAATTTCCTAGTACGCTCCCAGCAGAAAGGGTCAGACCCTAAGTCGCCGGACAAATGACTCCTGGTCGAGCCAACAGACGCGATAATGCGGCTTAATTCTTGGCCGGAACGAGGTGAACGTTATGGCAGCCGTAAATGCGGCTAAGGCTTCATCATCGGAAAAGTTGTTAAAGTTGTTTATTGCTGCATATCGGGGTCCTGGCCATCTGAATGCCCGCAGTCCTGAAATGAAGTTGCTCAAAGAACTCGTTTTCCTGCCCGCCTGCGCTGTCGACAGTCCCCATTTAATTAACCCTACGAGCTGCAGGTTCGATTGTCCAATAAAGCGGAATGTTTCCTTTTCCATTTGCACTGAAAAAAAAGAAGAGAGATTCAAAGAATGAAAAGGGCAGTGATGTTAGTTAAGCTTATAGGATCCCATTTAGAGCAAGACATTTTGTAATCTTCCCAAATGTGTTGTTTATAATATACTACTTTAATTTTATTAAGAATCGTGTAAAAAGAATTATGGCAACCTAAGTTTAGACTTTAAAGATTTTAAAGTAAATTATACATTTGTTTTAATAACAATATCAGTGGTTCTAAAAATCCTTTAGTGGCTTATCATCAATTCAAGATATAATCTTTGAAAATTGGTATTCCCCCTTTAAAGCTCTCACTGTATCTTTCCACTGTTGAACAATCAACGCTGGCTTCGAGAAGGTCCATATGCTGGTCCAGGATTTGCGCAGCCGATACTCCCGCCGGGTGACTTCAAAGGTCCCTTCTGCTTTACATAAATATTTATGCGAGTTAATTTGTCGGCATATATGCCAAGAGGTGGACGGCCGAGGGGCGGCTGGAGAAGGGAAAGGGGGAGGGTAAGGAGAAGGGTCAGTGGGGCGCCATCAATCAGACATGAAACAATATTTACAATTTGAAGGAATTAATACCAACCGGTTGACGTCAGCCTGTAGAGTTCAGAGTGCCGCAGTTGGGAAATGTTGCTTTTAAGAGGAAAGGCCCATGGGTAGTTTTCCTCGCCCGAATGCTTCGTCTGTCCGTGATACCCGCAGGTAAACAAACAAATAAGGACGAGGCCCTTCAATATGCTACCGCCTGGGAGCCACGCCCCCTGACAGCCGACGCCTGTCGTTGACAGCCATAAAAAAATACAAAAAATAAAAAAACACACACGCTCCCACTCAGACGCACTGACAGACACGCAACCCGTCACTTACTTGTGGACACAAGTCTGCGTGCGGCTGCCATTTTGACTAAAAATAAACAGTAGTCAAAAGCACAACACATTACAAAAATTCCACATAAAAATAACAAGTGAAAGATACGGTCTCGACTTGGTAAGTGGAAATTTACATACTCTAACTGCCTAATTAAATGCTTTTAAAATTAAAACAAATAATTTTGAAGTGCTTTGTTCTTTTAAAACAAAACTATTGCTTTTTCGAAGGTGTTATTTATGAACTGCATGTATTACCACATCAAATAAATCACACTTTAAGTTAAATTCCCTTTGCATATTAAATACTTTTCAAAGACCCTGCGAATTTTCCCCACAGAGTAGTTAAACCCTTTGTCAGTGTCCGTTTATACAAACATATTCACATAAAATTACATTAAATATTATTGCTTTACGGACGGTTTTCCATGGCATTCGCAGACTGTGTGTATAGGATTGTCGGCACAAAGGACCCAATGGTGCGTATAATTGACATATTTGATTGTTTAACTTGTATTAGTAAAGTCAGTAAAGCCCTCGAACAGAACCTGCTGGAATCACAAAGGGGCAAAAAGTAATACCCAAAGAGGTCAAAAGGACCGAAGTAAAGGCTAAATGCAGACACAAAGCATACTTAATGTATTTCGGACTTGTGTCCCGCAAACGAGGTAACAATGTGTTCTGTTAATTTAAAAAGGATTTATGAAGAATATATAAAATAAGAACTCTTGAGGCATTTACAAAATTTAAGTATTTCTGTTTAAGGTCTTCGCAGATGTTTTTTATAACTTATTTGTTTAATACTTTCTTTCTGCAAACAGTAGGTAAATACATGAAAGTAAAGTTTTCTGAAAATCGTACCATAATAAATATATTCTCTCTTTTAATGTAGCCTTGATGATTAAGTCAAGGACTCGAAAATCTGCGCAGCGCCCTGTTTGATAGGGATTTGCTTTGTCAACTGAATCAAGCTTGGGCAGCATAATCTCCTCATCAGACATATATTTCTCTTTTGCTCGTAGGCGAATGTGCACTTCGAATTTATAAATAGTATAAGGACAATTTGGCATTTGTCAGATTTCTGTCAAGCTTAATGTGTGTGATGATTATTAATTAAATTGTGTATATATTCAGCCATCAGCAACTTCAATCTGACATTGTCAGCCTGTCCGGATCACTCAACAAGAAATTCGATTTCATAACAGGTCAACAAAAGTGTGATGGATTGCTTTGCAGATTCAATTGTCTGTATCTGAGAGGGCTTCATCCTTTGAAATGTGTAAAATGGGACGTAAACATAAATTGTTACAGATTGCTTATGTAACTTGAACAAAAATTCTCCAAAGGAGAATTACGCAGGCGAGCATTCCTTTGGCAAAAAGCCCTACACAGTGGTGGCATGTTTTGCTATTTTATTTATTTTAAAACGGAAAAGGATTTACGATTATATGCGAATACATTTATTAATCTATTTAAATCATTTTGTTCCAATTTTATATTTCTTTAATTTACGTTGGTTTTTCTGTTTTTAAATGCTGTATTGAAAAGACTGTCAATCTTAATGCAGCAGAGTACGACAAAAAAATGCATCCAATGACCTGATTTTCTTTACAAATAACTTGAAATAAATAAATAAAAATTGTCCTGCTCCCCTGTGTTTTTTGCTGATCTGTTTGGGTTCGAAACCGACTGCTGGCAACACTGTTCACTAACAAGCGGCAATCTACAGCCTGGCAATCATGTAATGTAGCGAAGCATCAACACAAACACAGGGTCTGTGTGGGTGGGAGTGGCAGTGCTGCTGCTGATTGCACAAAGGATGCCCCTCAAGTCCTTGGTGACGTGTTGAGCGAAAGAATGAAACTAGCAGCCGGCGCCCGGCATTTGAACGGAAGATCCACTGCACCTGAGCTCGTAACTCGCTGGCTGGAAGATAAATTATGGTGTGGGAAACCCCAGCAAAAGCTGAAGAGTTTACTATTCGGGAGGGGAAACCATACCAAACCAGCTGCACAAAAAGAAAAGAAATCCCTTTGAAGGCTTGGACCTACCTGGTTGCCAGGTATTATTGAGTTTCCACCACAATTTACAATAGCAATTCACATTCCTAAACCTTTCAAAGTGAAGGCAATTGAATAATTATATAATGTTAATAGTCATTCCCAAACATCATTTTATTAATTTTCCAAGCTTTTTAATATTGTACTCCGGCTTGTAAGAAATAATGGTTATTATTCGGCAATTGTCGACTCGGTTTCCCCAATATCTGTTGTATAAGTCCTTTTTGAAACGTCAAACGATGAAAGCCAATTAGCTTCAAAAGAGCTTAAATTTCGAGGCAAAGGAAACCATGGCGACCCATCTGCAATTGTTAAATAAAAAGCCAACGAACATTTGGTGCCACCTGGCGTATGAGTAATTCTTTTTCACTTTTACACTGGACCATTTTCATTTGTCAATTTCACCATAATTGTCGCTTTTCAAAGGACCCTCAAATTAAATTAAAAGGACCTGCAAAAAAACATTTGGTAAAGGCTATGTTAAAGGAAGCACACATGGCGATTGGGTAATATGAGTTCATTCATTAAAAGTAATTGAATTGGACATTTTCAAACTCAAATATCCGGACTTTAAGTCCTTTTCTAAGCTTCTCCAAACGATGAACGTAAATTAGTTTCATAAAAGCCAACAAGGCAAGCAGAATTCTTTTGTGCTAAAGCTTTTGCAGTGGTTCGTCCCCACTCCCTTGTCCATTTTGACCCGTTTCACTTCATCCCTTGCCCCATCTCCCGTCCCATCCTGGTTTTGGCCAAAGTGCAACCACAGAAGGCTCATCATCGTCATCATTTGAATTCTTCGCCTGATTGTGGCATGCAGTGGCTTGTGTTGTTGTTGTTGCTGTTGTTCGTTGGTGTTGTTGCCAGGACACGTGCGTCGTCGAGCTTTGCAGCTGACATTCCGTTACGCACGTTGCCTCCTTTGGTCCTTGTTGCTGCCGCTGATGCCTCTTCTGCCGCTGGTCCTGCAGTTGCCGTTGTCGTTGTCTGGGCAACATGCAATGCCAAAGTTTTTGTGATGCAACTGCGTAGTTTGCTCACAACAAGGGTCGTCGAGGGCGGCCAGGGATGTGGAGCATTTAGTGTGCGTAGGGGTTTTAAAGGGGGAATGCTCACTCAAAGCTGGCAGAGGGTTTATGGCCAGCGTTTAAGGCTACCATGCCAATGCAGTGCGCGGCAAAAAAGAGAAAATTAATCGCGGTTGCCGTTAAAGCCATTATGTTCCCAACATAATTGGTTACACAAGCAAACTTTTAACTAAATACTTAACTACAACCCTAAAAAAATGATTAGTTAAAAAGAAGTATTTACCATCATTTGCTTCTTTCTCGCTCTTTAACAAATTACCTTTGTTACTTTTTTAAGCATTACAAAATCTCACTTTTAAGTTTTTACTTAAACCAATGCCCATAATAGTTTAAAAAAATTTTAGATTTTAATGAAATATCTAATTTATAATAGGACAAAACCTTATTCAGTTTTGCCCATTCAAATAAATCTTATATTAAACCATAAAATTAAATTTCATTGGAAAAGCTCCACTAAAATTCAAGAAAGCTAACAACACACCTGATACCCTTTCCAAGGTTACTCTCGGATCGAATCGTTGTTAAAAGCTCGCTACGTCACAAGCGGCAACAGTTGGGTTCAGTTCTATATGCTCAGAATGCTGTCTCTCTCTGAGAAAACGGATAAAGGGGGTGTCAGCTAGCTGGGGGGTCGGAATTGTGTGGGGGGTGGGGCCGAGCCGGCAGAGCGCAGTACAGTGCAGTGGTATAAGTGCACACTGCCATGGGCAGAATGCCACACTTATGCTCACACAAGCACCAGCACACACACATTGCCAGCTTTTGTATTGATGCACTCGAACGGGTGGCTTCAAGTTACCGGTTCGGTTCACAGTGCCCGCTTCCACACAGAGAGAAAATAGAGTCTTTTTTCAAAGTATCGTTGAAACCCTTTTATTTACCAATACAATTGGAAACCGTTAATGCTTTTTTGAAACCATTTTCCTTATCAAAATACGTACTCTGCGAATTTAAGAACAAAATAGATCATCCAAAATCAATATTGGCTGCTTCTAGCATTTGTTAAACAAAAGTCTATGATACAGGAAAAATTGGTTAGTGTGACTTGACCTATAAACGTTCTCTGATCCAAAAATAATGAATTAGGAAGTTAATTTAATTTTTTTAAATCATAGTGTTTTATAGTTTTATATTATTTATTTTATATCAATTTGTTTCTGTGCGCAGTTCCCACAGGCCCCTTTCCTTCTCTTTCTCTCTCTCTCACTGCTCCACTCCCACCTGCTGGCCGTTGGGAACGTTGAGCTGCAGTGGAGGAAACGCTCTCAACGCTCAAGTTTCGCATTCGCATTCTCATTCGCCAATTAGCAGCCGGCGCGAGATCGTCGCGTGTGCGGAAAAAGTAGTTCTCCTGAGTCGGAATTTTTCCCAGCCGGAAAACTGTTCTCCCCGATCAATATTGAGAGTGATCTCTGGTTTTTCCACTCCAAAAATTCAGGATGGCCACGAGGGGAGCAAATGTGATTTGGTTTCGCCACGGATTGCGTCTGCACGATAATCCAGCCTTATTATCCGCCCTCGCCGATAAGGATCAGGGTGTATCAATAGTACCCATATTCATATTCGATGGAGAGAGTGCAGGTGAGCGGTTCTAAGTCTAGTTAGCAATGAGTAAATGAGTATACATATGTGGGGAAAATGGTTTTAGTTGATCATAGGCTTTTAATTAGGTATTTTTAGTGGACTCAATCGAATAATAAAAGTATACAATATAATCTCAATAAAGTCCCAGTTTTTATGACAAATAGTAAGCGTTGAAATTTAATTTTACGGCTTCAGATTGAATTTCGATTAATTAAGAAAAGTTCTAAAGCGGTTGTAATCTATATAAATTTTGTTTTAAATTTTTTCTACCGAGAAACTGTGATAACAAATCACGCTCTTTTGAAGATTTAGAAATAAGCAAAGGTTTACCATTTCTATTTAAATAAATTTAATAAAAAAAACAACTGAAATATGAAATATTTTTAGAAATTGGCTGAACAAAAAAAATAATAAATATTAAAAAGTCCGTAAGTAAAATATTGTCATCAAAGGGTTAAAATTAAAGGCTTTTAGCTCGATTGCCATTACACGCTCATTCTACGTATGAGCTAATATCATTTTTTGCGACTTGCATCGGTTATCAAATGCTCCCTCTTTCCGCGACCGCTGCGAATTCAGCGTTTTTCCCTGCCCGTGGAATATGGGAAAGGGGGTTGTGGTGGGGTGGGGGAAACCTAGTGCACTTTTGCATGGCAGAACAAAACAAACGATGCGTTCTAATGCGATTTGCGGCTGGCGGTTTTTCGAAAACGCCGTTGAATTGTCGAGAGCGATATAGAAAGACAATGAAAGCTGAGTAAAAAGGCATTAGAGAACAAACCAGAATGCTAGTTTAGTGCTTTTGTACTCGTTTTTAAACAGTTTTTTTTTTAAGTCAGAGAGAAATGAAGGTACCTATAGAGCTCATAACTTGACCGATAAGAGTCTTTTTGCGAGGAAAAGCGGAACAACAATTATTGCAATGGAAAATGGAAAACGAGTTAAACTTAACGTTTTGTGTATGCAAAAGCTGAAAAAATTGCTGAAAGGTGGCACTTAAGTAAGCAAACTTGTTTGAAATGCATAATTTGACCACACTTATGCAATCTTAAGTGTTTTTAAATGGTATGCACGCTGCGTGAATAAACAATTAAAACTCGGCAGAATATTATTAACACAGATTTGCAGCAGTAGTCCGGCAATATTTTTAAGTTTTCTTCTTGATTTTATTGTGCTGAATAATCCTTGGCTCACCAAACTAATTATCCAATTTAATCTTCTTTTTTTTTTTAATTTTATTTGCCAATTCACGTAAGGTACCTTTCAGCTCTAAATTAGACCTACAGCATTGAAGCTTGAAGTCTAGTTAATCTCAAAAATGTGCATTGCTGTCAGTTAAGCATAATGGCTGTGAGAAGTAGTGTTAAGATTTCCTTTTTCTATAATTATATATTGTTCGGTTAAAAATCAGAAAAAATATAATTCTGGCTTGAAAATACTAAAACCTAATAAAAAGTTTTTGTGACTTACTTGTCACAGGCACCAAGTGCGTGGGGTTCAACCGAATGCGCTTCCTGCTGGATTCCTTGCAGGACATTGACGAGCAGCTGCAGGCGGCTACTGAAGGACGGGGACGTCTGCACATCTTCGAGGGCGAACCGGCGTACATCTTCCGGCGGCTGCACGAGCAATTCCGCATCTATAAAATCTGCATTGAGCAGGACTGCGAGCCTATTTGGAGCGATCGTGATGAGAGCATTCGATCCTTGTGCCGCGAACTGGGCATCGACCTCGTGGAGAAGGTATCGCACACGCTCTGGGATCCCCGTACTGTAATCGACACCAACGGTGGCATTCCGCCGCTTACCTATCAGATGTTCCTGGTAAGTAATCATACTTACAATACATAAAAATATTAAATAAATATATTTTTAAATAATAACTACATAGTTTTAAACTTAAAAAGTTTTAAACAATCTTATATTATATTTGCGAAACTAAATATTAACGTTTTTGTAGAACGACAAGATAATATCAAGATCATATTGATTTTACAATTATTATTTATTTGTTAATAGCATTATTTTTATTTATACATTCAGCATACTGTGCAGATCATCGGGCTACCACCGCGCCCTGTCGCCGATGCTCGTTTAGAAGACGCCTCCTTTGTGGAGTTGGATCCCGAGTTGCGCAGAAGTCTTGGCTACTTCGAGAAGCTGCCCTCGCCGGAGCATTTCAACATTTACAGTGACAACATGGGTTTCCTGGCCAAAATAAACTGGCGAGGGGGAGAAACTCAGGCCTTACTTTTGCTCGAGGAGCGCCTTAAAGTGGAGCAACACGCCTTTGAGCGGGGTTTTTATCTTCCCAATCAGGCATTGCCAAATATTCTGGACACGCCCAAGTCGATGAGTGCTCATTTGCGCTTTGGTTGCCTTTCGGTTCGCCGTTTCTACTGGAATGTTCATGATCTCTTCAAGAACGTGCAGTTGCGTGCCTGCGTTCGAGGAGTTCAGATGACCGGTGGAGCACATATTACGGGTCAGCTGATCTGGCGGGAGTACTTCTACACGATGTCGGTAAACAATCCTAATTACGATCGCATGGAGAACAATGAGATCTGCCTGAGCATTTCGTGGGCAAAGCCGAACGAGGACCTCTTGCAGCGTTGGCGTTTGGGTCAAACGGGATTTCCGCTCATCGATGGCGCCATGAGACAGCTCCTCGCCGAAGGATGGCTTCACCACACGCTCCGCAATACGGTAGCTACCTTCCTAACGCGAGGTGGAATGTGGCAGAGCTGGGAGCACGGGTTGCAGCACTTCTTGAAGTATCTTCTGGATGCAGATTGGTCAGTGTGTGCTGGGAACTGGATGTGGGTCTCCAGTTCGGCCTTCGAAAGGCTGCTGGACTCCTCGCTGGTCACCTGTCCTGTGGCTCTGGCCAAGCGACTTGACCCCGACGGGACCTACATCAAGCAGTACGTTCCGGAGTTGGCCAATGTTCCCAAGGAATTTGTGTGAGTTGTATAGCTTGATCAAAAACATTTTCCACAGAAGATAGTTTAACAAAAACAGATTTACGATAATCGGTGAATATATTTATTACTACATATTTAAAAACAGATGCAAATTTCAAGCTACTTTACTTCATTAAGTCTGAGTTTCTCTTAATTGAAAAAGTATAGCTATTATAGGTAATTCAGTTTGAAATTCGGCATGTTTAACATTGCTTACTTGAAGTCTCCTACCAAGAAAACTAGTTTACAAGCTACAACTTTATTAGTTGAGCATGTAGTTTACAAAAGTTGAACTAGCTAAAAAGTATTAAAACTTGAATGGTTTTTAAAATTGAACAGCAATTATTATAATAATCTGAGGTTCAACTAGTCGTATACGTAACGAAAAAGGAAAATATTTTACATTTTGTAAGATACGCTTTGAATATTTTTCAAGAAGACTGGCAAATAATTAAAAACTTTAATAGCACACAAAAATAAGCAAAATCAACAACAATTAGGGAAATACCGTGATTAGGATTTTTATTAGAAAATCACCCCTTCCCAAAAATTGCAGTATTAATCTTTAGGTACCATTTCATTTTCGCAGCCACGAGCCCTGGCGAATGTCTGCCGAGCAGCAGGAGCAGTATGAGTGCCTGATCGGAGTCCACTATCCGGAGCGCATCATTGACCTTTCCCTGGCGGTGAAGCGCAACATGCTGGCCATGAAGGCACTTCGCAACTCCTTGATCACCCCGCCCCCGCATTGCAGGCCATCTAACGAGGAGGAGGTGCGTCAGTTCTTCTGGCTGGCAGATGTGACATTTTAAAGTAGCCCCAAGTGTATCCCAAATAAAGTTCTAGCAATGAACACAATAAAGGGACTATTACCGCTCGTATATTATATATCATTAATAATGCTTTATTTTCTTCAATTAAAATAAGTACTACAATACAATTTGTATTTGTTTTATTTGGTTTCGTTTTATTTTTAACAGCTTATAACGTGTTACTCATATATCAATTTTATTCAGCTTACTTTAAAAATTGTTTATGGTGTATATATATATAATTATTATTATCATTTGTATTACGTTATCAAATTATACGTTAATTAACAGCATTAATTAAATAGTTTTTGCATTTAGTTGTATTTTTTTACGAGAAAAATTGAACGCGAATTTATTTCAAATATTGAAATATAATTTAATGTCGATCTATTTGATCCTTACTTCGTTTGTCTTTCGTTTAATGAGAATTCCGTTTGTATCTTATAATTTGTCTAAGTTGTTGTGTATATTTTATTTTAATGCCTAAATTTTGGTGTTCCTTCTAGATGTGTGCCATACAAATGAGATATTGTTAGGGGTTGATGGGACCTAAAAGGAGTTATTGTTGAAGTTTGAGTCCCTCGACAGTTTGCTACAAATAAAGTTGGAGAAAATATAAGCTCGACCCGGCCGAACTTTTTGCTTACCCCGCACAAGTACATTTTTCATTTAAATCCTTCGTAGGGAATAAGCATTTATTTTTAGACATTCCACATCCTCTGAAGTAGTTGAAGTAAATTCGAGTAAACATTAAGAGCGTTGCTTGGCAAAAAAGTTATTTTTCTGGTAAATGTAAATTTTACACACATATTTGCGTAGTATACGATAGCTGAATAAATAATTGAACCAACCAATTCAATCAACCAACGAACGAGAACGAACGAGAACTCACAGCAAATAACAATTTGACGCAATTTATACTTTATGGAATATCTCGTAACGCATTTTGCTTTTATCATTATTATATATTTTTTAAAGTACTCCCCGATTCAAGTGTCCTCTCTGTATGTATGTACAAATGTATAGTATTGTGCTGATGCATTCTGTGTGCTAAGTGGATGTCTGTGCTCGAACCGATTGGCTATAAAAATAAAAAGCTGCTTGTCCCCATTGCGTATGCAATACATTTTAAATCCCCCTGATTTCCCCCCAGCCATTTCCATTCCCCATTACCATATGGTGCTAGCTGACTGCTTTAAGCCTATGAGGTTCAATTAAATTCATTTGCCTTTTAATTTTTCCTTCATCATTTCAACTGGACACAAGTGTCTCGTGGTATCTTCGTGTATGCGTGTTTTTCGATCATGAAAATATAGCTCCACTAATGATTTTGTTAAAAGCTTTAAATATTTTTGGTATTGGTAGAGGTTACAGCTTTAAAATGGACGTTTCATAGATAGATCAATAGTTTTACATAGATTTCAAGAGATATTTGTTCGTTTGAGCAGAATCAAGTGGCAGATAGTAAAAAACTCGAGGCGATTTCGAGGATATGTGCCTACAGCTGAAGAGTACGGTGTGTCTAAGGTGGTTTCTTTTAAGGTTTATCCTCTTATTTGGGCAATTTAAGTATTGGCAGTTTCCTAGTGTGTTTGAAAACATCATTCAGAATGGAATAACACATTTTCTCGGGCAAATCCCCTTACAATCTTGGAATGCTATTGTTCGCAGCCAGATAAGCGAATGGCTCGCAGCTAACTCCTTTCGCAAACGATTCATAAATCATTCAAGCTAACCCATGGAAGGCAACTGTTTGCTCAGTCAATCAAACCCAAGGCCCCCTCAGACTCTCCTCCAACTCCTGGCTTTCTTGGGATTGGATTGTTACATTGACTTTTTGAAATGCAAATCAAATGCAGACCACAGATGCATAGCCAATGAATGCAAATAGACATGGCTGCATAGGCTCCTATGTACATATTCTCAGAAAATCACATATTCAAAACGCTCCCACCTCTCGCCCTCTCTTTCTTCTATCATCGATTCTCGGTTATTCATACAGGTTATACAGGATGTTTGCGTTTAACTTTTTACATTAACTGTCATTTGGTTTATTTTCACAATTTACAAAATGCAACTTAAACAATTGGATTTGACGTGATGCAGGCCATGCGTGGAGGAGAGTGCCGTCAACAGATGTCCTTCGTGTTTGCTCGGGTATCCGGGTAACATTTTACATACAGTGCAGTGGAAGGAACTTAACTAACTTACTGCGGTCGCAACCGTTTCTCGGGTTCTTTAATTTGTTGTCGTGTGCTACACTAGAACTAAGCTTTTGTTGCTGCGGTTTTCGTACACTTGGTGTTTGCTTAGTTTGCTTTTGTTTCAGTTGACGCTGCTGTGGCTTCACATTGCTTTCATATCGTTTCGTTTCATTTTGTTTGCTTGGTGTTAGTTTTTTATCGTAAATTTATTTATGCAATTTTATCTCAATTTCATTAATCTGTTTGTTTGTTTTGTTTTGCCTTTTAGTTCTTGTTTCGCCTGGTTTTTACATACACATATTTTGTTTACAATTGTCTACTACACTTAGTCGGCGTCCGCGCGCATACCCCGCACCTCGCCCACCTGCCGCGCCTTGTCCAGCTCCTCCTTTGTCTGGTCCTCGATGGCGCGGATGTCCTCCATGGTTAGACCGTACCAGCGATCAGTTGAACAGAAAACTTGGCTGAGGTTTAAAAACAAAAAAAAGGGATAAGTAGAGTTTTCAGCAAAAGGTTTTAAGATATAGTAATGCACAACTAATGCACTATCAACTAGGCAATATTTTCCTAGTTTCCTAATGGTTTCTTGGAAAATATGTTGTTGAGGCATATTCAAAACATATGAAAACTAGTTACAAAGAGCTTTCATCAAAATTTGTGGACATTTACCGATGGAAGTTTGTAAAGAGGCGGCGCTCCGATTTTTGTATAAAATTCTCTACTCTTGTTTGCAGGCCGAACCATTTGAACTCGCACGAGACCAGCTTGTAGCAGGTCATGACAGGATCGACCCGTTTTTTCCAATCGGCTCCCACCAGGGGACCGCGGCCCGTCTTCTTTGACTGGTAGCTAAAAAATTATAATTGAAACATTAATAACAATGCCAAAGGAAAGTTACTTAATGTAGCTTACGTGGTTGGATCCTCATCGGGCTTGTAGTCCGCTGGCAGGACCGGATCGTTGGCAATGTCAATGTGCACCACCTCCCGCATTTTCAGCTTGTCCGGCGTCAGCTCGTGCACCTGAAAAAAGCCAAGGCAAACCATCTTAGAAATACTCATTACGGCCATGAAAGGCATAACATAGAAAGCGTTTACTACGTAGACATGCACATGGATCGATGGCGGATTAGAACTACAAAGCTGAACAGAGCAGACAGCAAATAAAGTACAAAATAAACGGAACTCACGTTCTCAACAGTGCCAATGTCATTTTCTATGTGGTTCGAATAAATGTCTATTTTAAAGTTCTTATTCATATAACCAGGATTCTTAACATAAAAATTAAAATATCCAAAACCAAAACAAGCCAAACACATGGGTCGTGGAATTTTGACAAAATCATATTGCATATTGATCAAATGCGGTTAGTCGCGGTTAGTTAGTATTCACAATCAAATGCATAGATGAGATGAGGTGATGTGATGTTGTGGAGAGAAAAGAAGAGAATACAAGTTAGTAAGATCATGCTGTGGATCTCCGACTTACATTTTCTGAGTCGCCCGCATCGCCGACGTGCAGCGTGTCGATGACTATTTTGAAAGCTTCTTTCATGAATTTGGGGTTCTAGAAATGCAATATAATCACAATAATCAGACGGGCTTCTTAACAAAACAACCAACGAAAAAATTCTTTGTTTTTTCTGCCCATATTTGTTGTACCCCTAATTTAACCCCTTTTACCGTGATAATCGTTCGACAATAGGGATAGGCATTCCATGCCTCCTCGTGGATCTCCAATGATCCCTTGGGTGCCAATAGTCTTATGTAGGCTGGAACTTTTGATTGCAGATGGTAGATCTTATATGTATATTGACCGGAATTATATTTGCCACCTGAGGGGATTGAAAGAGGATTATTTAAAGTTTTAAATGATTCATTTTAAATAGTTTACCCAAAAGGGGAAAGTCTTCGAAGGGTTCGTTCTTTAACACCTCGATGCCCTCGCCGCCTCCCGTGTTCTCCTTTGACGCCTCGGCCACCGAGAATAATTGTGCAACTTGATACTGAAAAAGGGAAGATGGGAAAGTTATTCTCTGCACAAGAGCGCTCTTTCCGCCAGTTAACTATATTACCTCTTCCACCGTCAATGGCAAAGTCACACGGCTGCAACGAGAAGAAAAAGGAATAATTGTGTCAGCGAATGTATGCATAAAGGCTACTCAGTTTTAATTAAGTTTAATATAACAATTTTAATTAAATATCAGGCCTGTGCATAAAGAGCTGTTGATACCCTTAACTCCCCACTGAGCAGCGAGGTATTTCGGGCCCAGTGGGAGTGGGAAATATGAAAATAATTAACAATAACCAGAGAAATTCAATTAATAGCGTGTTTAAATTGCAAATGGCAAATAACGGTTCAGATTACTGTTCAGTATTTGGTTATTTCGGTGTGTCATGTGACAACAAACCGGAAAAACTCTCAATAACAATAAATGTCAATAACTACATAGAAATAGTTTATGGGCTGATTGAATTTGTATTTATTTACTACAAAATATAGCCAAACCAGACTGTTTTACTGTTTCATCAATAAGATAAACAATTCAATTTGATAACTACTTAACAGAGTTGACATGTTCAGGCTTTAAGCTGGAAGGCAAAATGAATACTGTTTGATTGCGTAATCCCCTTGGAGCTCCAAGATGTGTTGTCCAAATTTGCCTTAAATTTGCATAATTATAAGTCCTCTCCGTTGATTTTACATTGTCTTAACCAATTACTCAAGCCCCAAAGTATGCAAACAAACTATCTAGAGGCTTGTTGCTAAAATGGCCAACTTATTTAGCAGACAAGCAATTGAAGTCAATTGATACTTAAGATAAGTTTGGTAGTCTACTTAAACGAAAATCAGATTACGTTAGTTCAAGGGGCACTTTACTAAGCTTCACGGAGAAAGTTACTGAAACAGCACATTTTAAATGAT